TGCCCTGAAACTGCCCTGGTTGCGAAATGCCCAATTGTTGCGTTCTCAAACAGAATTATTTGCAACTTAACGGCGAATTTAAACCGATATAGGTAAAATAAACTCATTTATAGTATAAACTTACTATTTTTATTTGTATACACGTCTAGAAAATCGGGTTTTTTATCATAAAGTTTGAAGCAACACTATTATTTAATATGTTGACAAGGTGTAGCGAAAGCACAAAATGAGTCAAAATATATACCAAAAGTAGAATCTTTCATGAAATTTTGTCTTATAGACAACTACATTAATATATATTTTCTCAATTTTGGCAAGAAGCAGTCTTGTGTTTGTAAAATATACAAACACATATACAATTATAATTTATTAAATAAAACGGATACATATATTATTAGCCCGTACAGTACTGTATATAAAAACGTACATTGTTTACAAATGGTATATCCGTAATATTTGAACAATAATTTCAAAATCCTCATTCCCAATTCGCAAATATAGTTATTCAAAGCAAAACAGTAGATTGTCTTGCGAATAAAAGAATTATTATTTTGTGCTTTCGCTTCACCTTGTCAACATAATAATAGTGTTGCTTCAAACTTTATGATAAAAACCCCGATTTTCTAGACGTGTATACAACTAAAAATAGTAAGTTTATACTATAAATGAGTTTATTTTACCTGTATCGGTTTAAATTCGCTGTTAAGTTGCAAATAATTCTGTTTGAGAACGCAACAATTGGGCATTTCGCAATCAGGGCAGTTTCAGGGCAGTTTTGGCCTTGTTGTTGGGAAATCCACTAGGCCTTCTACTTTTTCGCTTGCGTCAGGCTTGTGTCCTTCCTCCGCCCCGCCCCCAAGTCACCTAGTCCCAGTCTTTTCATATGAAAAAGCGCTGAATATTAAAAAAATATAAATAAAAATAGAAGGCCAACAGGTGGGCAATTTGTCTGCGCATGCGCGAAGAAAATCAATATGGCGAAATATATTAGGAGTGTTTCGCGAATTTATCTGGTTTTAAACTGATAAAACAACATTTTAATGAACGCAAACTTTGTAATATTTAGTGGAAAACATTAAGCTATGCATTCCAAAGGTTTTAAATTGAAAATAAGTACTTCAGCTGTATTTTATTGCTTTTTATGCTTTGAAAACAGCAAGCCCATTTTTTTGCAAAAAGGTAATCTATTATTTTATCCATCATTTGTTTAATCTGAACAGAAATCGATAGAACACTTGGTTATATAAGTTACAAAGGTATTGTTAGCTGATCTGAAAAATTTCAGTATTCCGGGTACACATTTTAACAAAGAATAAAATGTAATTTCAAAAATTAAAAATGCATATCAAAAACAATAGTTTTTATTAGAACAACATATAATAAGTTGTTATTTTCTATTTTTACAAAAACAAGTTTGGAAACAGGATTTAGCCCTCCAGCTTGATGTCATATTCCATTTATTTGGATATTTCAGTAAAGAATGTGAAATAATAATTCAATCTTGTGCAAAATTTGATACCAACACACATATAAACAGATATAATAGATATTATCACCTAAAAATAATAGAAAACAGAACTTAAATTTATCATCTAATGCTATGAAAAAAATCTTAGATACTACAGGCATATAGTGAGCACAATTCTTTGACAAACTCACTAAAATAAGTTCAGTTATGCTATGATAAGAAGAGGGTGGGTGGCCAGGGACACCGGAACTGGGGGGGCAGGGGGCGGCTGCCCCTCTTGCCTTTTGCTAGGGGGGCAGGGGGGGCAGAAGTGCCCTTTTAGTTGTAAAATAATACGTGATAAATCACATTTCCAACGATGCTTTTTGTAGGAAAATCACGAAATTCAGGTAATTTATAGTTTATATTTATAAAAATTTTGGGAAATTTTTGGAATTTAGAAAAATATTTTGAAGAAATTGCGAAAATTTAAGATATCCGGAAAAATTTTTGGCTTCAGGGAAAATTTTTGTATGTCCGGAAAAAATTTTTGACCCTTAAAATGGAACACTGACCGAAATTTTTTTGGCGACGGGGGGGGGGTGGAGGTCGCCAAAAAATTTTGCAGTGAAAAATTTTTTTTCAGTAAAGGTGCCCTTGGTGTGCGTCCGCCCCCCTTTGCCCTATTATCGTTCCGGCGTCCCTGAGGGTAGCAATATATGACAACATCAAATGTCACCATATTCGGTGTCCAAAAAAAGTGCCGCGCGCATTTTTCATGGTCGCATAACTGGTATTGCCACAAACCGAGGTAAAAAAGCAATTAGAAAAACCTGGTTTGGGATGATGAGCATAGTCAAATTCTTGACTTATACAACTTTCTAAGTTTTTTTAGGTAAACAGATTTAACATTGAAATAAGCCCCATTTGGAACCTCATAGAAACCAAAATATTGTGTATGGACCAGATTTTCTTCAATTTTCTGTGATAGACATGACACTAGTTATAATTTAAGGGTCAACCAGTATTGTTCAAGACATATCTTCCTTCCAGAACACCTTTTCAAAATACTAACCCAAACATGTCAAAAATAGTGCACATTTGCAAGGGCAATTTCAACACTTTGGCACATTTTTCCCATTAATAATTTTAATTCTAATAAAAAGACTACAGATAAAGCTTTGATTTAAAGCTAGTTTCAAGTAATGAGCATACCCTAATTTTTAAGCTAAACCTCAAGGAAGATAGGTCATTTCAACATAAACATTGAAATATGGGTATACTGCATGACAGCTCTGTCACACTTGTAGTTTGGCATTTAATTTAACAGCCCTTCTGAAACATTTTAATGAAAATATAATTCACAAAATTCACATTTTCACTTACTTCTTAACAACTGTTTTAATCCAACTAGCTCTGTAGGCATGAGCAAAATCTAGTGTTGATGTAAATATCCATTTAGTTCATGTTTCCCAGGTGAAAATATAGTCTATTCCAAAGCTGGATTTCGACATACTTTAGCTTTTCAGAAACCGTTGGCCTTCCTCAGTAAGTTTTCAACTGTTTCACAAACATATTTGATAGTAAACAGCTAAAATATTCTCTGAAAGTCTGTATTTTTCACTCTTCGACGCGAAAATGGCAACTCGAGAAGAAATGAGCCGCTATTTTTGGTCAGCGTCGACAAACTACCCACCTGTTTAGAAGGCCTAGGTCTAGGCTGCAGCTAGTCATGAAATTCTGAAAGTGCATGACCAAAACACACAGCGAGCAAACCACGCAGCACTCACACGCAATCTTTTCCAACGCGCTTACGCAACCGGTCATGCATGTGAAAATATGCAGGACCGCTCAGTTGCCAAGGTAACAAAGCCAAAATTAATAACATACGAGAATATTTAGCAAGAATATCGCCTAAAGACCATTGATTTGGGTAAACAAAATAATAAATAAAATACTTAGGCGTAGAAGTGCAAAGATAAAGTATAATTCTATTGCAAACAATTATACTGAACTGATTTTTAAACATTTTTGGGGAAATTTCTAGTCATGCACTGCATGACCTGCATGACCGCTAGCTTCGCCACTGGCTAAGCAGGATAATATTTACCTTCATCAATTTCTTTGGTTATTTAGCTAACAAGATTTACTATTGCTATTTCTGTTGATTTATTACGCCTAAAACCATATTGGTTTTCTGTTAGTATTTTGTTTTTCTCAATAAAACTAATTAGTCGACTTTTGTACATAAGTTTCTCTAATATGTTTGTGTGATGTTACTCTGAGTGTTATTCACCTGAGTACATTACACCAACACAGCAGATTTCAGTTTCTCTAATAGTTTAGAGAAACACGTCAGGACGGAAATAGGTCTGTATAATTTTCAAATATATGACGTCTTAATTCTGACAAAGTAGAGAGAACAGACAAATACGCAGCTAACACACTTGCAAAATATGCAGATTTTTATTTTAAATACTGCTGAAAAGTAACCTTTATAATAATTATAGTAATTTCAGCGAGTAATCAAACATATTTCGATACCACTCTGGTATCGATTACTTCCGGTAGTAGCCTGGTATCAAGCGGTATCGATTACTCCGTAATCGGTAGTCGCCCATCACTAGTCAAGTTTTCACTTAGCCTCTACCGCAGGCATCGCTAGTTATTACTAGTAAGGTTTACAATGTGGATACAATGACCACGGAGTCTGTTTGGAAGTGGGGAGAGGGTCAGGAGGGGGCACGATCGTTATGAACAAAGCCAGGGCGCTAGCTAATTGTTGTCAGATTATATTCACCTTACATATCAATTACCTTTTTTGTCTTTAACTCGGTATGCTCCCCCCCCACCCCTACTACCTCTGCGATCCCTGGGGTGGTACAAAATATGATAAATAGAATAATGAAATTCGATGAACAGATAATCACAAACCAGAGTAAACATTCTGTTTGAAAGATACTTAACCTGCATATTACAACAACTGTTACAATAAATATAAATAATTATTGTCTCGTAACGTTCACACAAGTTTTAACTTGTCGATTATCGGGTTATAACCGATAGTATATCGATTATCGTTTAATCGTTAGTAAAAAATGTTTACAATAAACACGAGCTAAAGTAAGTTAGAATAAAAATTTGACTGAAAGTCAACTTGCGTTTTGAGTAATTATCTAAAAAAATTTAATGAGGTTAATACTGTCACACATTTTAATCAAATAAATTTGATTGTGTAAAGTCAAGCACCTAACGGGCAATCCTTGTACTTTGTGGGTTCGTCTCCCAGCACACGTCTGCAGTACTTATTTTGAACAAGGTTATCATGACCATTGAGCTTGTAGAAACATTTCACTGAACGCCTCCGAAAGCCTCCGCGACACTAGAGTTAATTTAAAAAATAACAAAATGAATACAACAATCCTCACGTAGAAGCATAAGCAAATATGAAGTATCTTGTACCTCCAACCACGTGCCGATTTGCCAATGTAACTCAGGTTTTCTTTCCATTTCTAAAAATAATAGCGTAAAGGATGAAAATAATTCAGAAAGTGTGAAGCACACATTAAGCCTGCTGTACACGACAGCTGTTGGCTGAGATAACATGTATGAGAGGACGTAGGCTACCTTATCGCAAATTTCGAAATATCAATTAACAATTATTCGCCGAAGTTGAGGTGATTATCGGTGAATAAAACCGAGGGAAATTAAGAAATAATCTGATGTAAATATATTATTTGAAAACGTTCACGCAATACTTGCTTTTACAAAATCCGCAACTTTTCGCACATTTGATCTTCATAACGGCAGCGTGACTTTCACAGATATGAGCGAGATTTTTACATTCTACATCCCCACGCTCGTTAACACAATCTAAAAAACAAAGCGATAATTTGTTTCTGCTATGTAAAAAGCTTACGATTTTTTGCAAATTGATTGTACAACAAAAATTACACTCGGGGAAAAAATGTTGCTAAATTTGTTGAAAAAAATTTCCTCGGAAAACATTTCCTTGGAAGCAAAATTAAGTTGTTTCTCCAACAATGTTTCCGAGCGATAGCATACGAACGGAATTTCCAAAACAATGTCTACTTAAGTTGAACAAGACAACATTATATGAAAACAAGACAACGTCATATGAGAACAAGACAACATATGAGAACAAGACAACACTATATGAGAACAAGACAACGTCATATGAGAACAAGACAACATCATATGAGAACAAGACAACATTATGAGACCAAGACAACGTCATATGAGAACAAGACAACATCATATGAGAATAAGACAACATCATATGAGAACAAGACAACATCATATGAGAACAAAACAACATTATATGAGAACAAGACAACGTCATTAAGGCCTACTCTGGGGCGGTAAATCGCCTAAAATCGCCCAAAATCGCATTAAATCGCGGGTTAAAATGGTCAAATTTCTCTTAAATCGCCTAAAATCGCTTTAAATCGCCTAAAATCGCTTAAAATCATGGGCGTACTGGGTGGGTGGGGGGGGGGGGGGGCGACCGCACCCCCCCCCAGTTTCTGTCTGGGCAGTCGCCCCCCTGGCTTTGTTGGGCAAACAATGCCAGCCGGGCAATATTCGCTTCACTGTCTGGCAATATTGGTTTATTATAGAAATAAATGGGACAAATCCTGTCAATTTTGTGGGAAATTCTGTCAATTATATGGGAAATATGCTATCCAATAGGAATTTTTTGTAACCACTTCTCGCCCCCCCCCCAATCACTTCTTTCCAACCCCCTCATATTTTCCTTCCCGTACGCCCATGCTTAAAATCGCATTAACTCGCCAACATGCATTCTGTTTGATACATTCAGTCAATAATGTACTCAAGTTTATCAATTGCTGCTATTTTGCTGGCAAATCATGTATAATCCAGGTGTTTTGCAATCAAAAGTAATGCAACATGGATAAATCAAATAAGTGGATTAGGCTGACAATATTTAGTCATTCATTAGGGTCCGGTCGTTAATAAAAACAGAGCCTTTTTCTGCTTTATGCAGACTTTACAATAATTAGGCAATTCTGGGATATGAAAGACCCATAGATTCCATTACACTACCAGCAACAAAATTGAGTTACTGGTTAATTTCATTATTGGTGTAAAATGTGGAGGCTGGGCTACAATTTATATGGACTATGGTGGCTGGGCTACAAATTAATCTATAATATACATGGCTTCTCAAAGCCTAATTGCTGCTAGAACAACAGTAGGAGACTATGATAATGAGAGTCAATGAGTACGAGTATAGAATAAGGTCATCCTGCAATTTGTGCACTGTTGCATGTAGATCGAGCACTGCATTGTATACAATGGTTGTACTTCGACATGTGCATGGTTATACTCTAGCTCCTAGTTATAATTATATTGGCTATCATACGAAAAACATACGTGAGGTTTATAATATGAGCGAGATTTGCAAGTTTTGCAACTCTCATCTATTAAATTTTCCAGACCTGTATATAAAATAAACAGTAAAACAATGATTACATCGTACATACCATACAATCTTTGTTGTTGCTTGTTTGCAGAACACTTGACAAATTATCAGGTAAAAGACTTAAAACCACGATGTAGCGCGCGGTGTGCCATTTGTTTAATATCATTTTGTTTAGTATTTTTTTTAAATAATTTAGAATTCCGACCATTTATATGCGATGTACTTCATGTAAATTAAACATTACGGCATTACGCCGACAGTTTCCGAATGCGTGACAATACTGTTTCAAACTGTTTCTGGATATAGATATCAAACATAATTTTATAAAACATGTTTGTTGAAACAGTTTAAATAAAATGCAAGCTAAATAAAGAAGTGTTGACAAGATACAAAACAAGACAATTTCACTTACAAGGGTGACAAGGTAATTTATAGGAATATAGCTTATTGTAACTGTATAAAACTATAAATATATTGTGCGTTTCTACTCCCTGTGGGCTATGGTTCTTTTGGAAATCAAATATCTATTATATTTTGCAATTAATAATATTAACGTTTAGCCTAAGACATGTGTAGTTTAGTTATAGGTTGGTATTTTGCAATTATGTACGCATGCCCCTTAAGTAGAGTATATTTATTAACTGTTTACAATATTTGTGGTATATAATGTAGCCACGAATGCATGACCACATGACCCCACAAGATGAACTCCAATGGCTTCTAAATAAGACAATGGATGAAAAGTTCACGAATATTGAGCTTTATATATGATTCGGATTAAATACAATAATTATTAACCTAGCTTTATATAAAATGTACATACATGTTCTAATAATTGTATTTTGCTTCATACAATGCATATATGTGTCAATGTGTGTGAAAACATTACATTATTCAGCTCACTCCCCTTTGGGGCTTTTCAGTCACCGCTTACATAAAGTATTAGGGTTACTTATGTTAGTCTAGACTATATATCTTTATAACAATGAGAATATGATATCACTTTTCTAACTGTTTTTATTCTAACCCATCCTGCCATATTTTGCCTTGTGGGAGAAAACCGGAGAAAAATATAAAATTCAATTACCTTGTCTAAATTGCAATCAATTACCAGGTCTAAATTGCAATCCCTAAAATTTAGAATTTTCTCTTAAATCGCATTAAATCGCCTAAAATCGCTTTAAATCGCAGTGCTTCAAAGTCCCAGTTTTTCCTTAAATCGCCTAAAATCGCCCAAAATCGCATTATATCGCAGCGATTTAAGGCGATTTACCGCCCCAGAGTAGGCCTTCATTATGAGAACAAGACAACATCATATGAGAACAAGACAACATCATATGAGAACAAGACAACGTCATTAAAAGAAAAAAACAACATCATTATGAGAACAAGACAACATCATATGAGAACAAGACAACATCATATGAGAACAAGACAACATCATATGAGAACAGGAAAACATCATTATGAGAACAAGACAACATCATTATGAGAACCGGACAACATCATGTGAGAACAAGACAACATC